AGCAATGATGAGTCTATAGCCCCACTTGAGGGGAATGAAGAACAAAATTGCAGGTGAATGGATATAATAGATGGTATGTGGCAAAATAATAATAATAACACAAAGTACAATAATATGGGTTCCTGGGGGGCAGGGTGGGGGAGGGAGAGGATAAAGGGGAGCTGATATCAGAGTTCAAGAAGAAAGAAAATGTTTCAAAAAGGTGGCAGCAGTTGTACAGTTATGCTTAATCTAATTGAATTATGGATGGTTATAATATCCATAAGAGCTTCCAATAAAATAATTTTCTAAAAATGCTCCCAAAGAGTCCCAGGTCCACTGGAAGGGTCTGTGGGAGCAGGTCCCTCAGAGCCTGGCATAGGGTGTGGTGGGCCAAAAGGCAAGGATTACCAAATCAGAACACTTTGGGTGGCCATCCCAAATGCTCCTTGGTGTCCTTGAACAAGCTGCTTGTCTTCTGGGCTCAGGTGCCTCATCCGGACAGAGAGGACTTGCCTCGTGGAGTTGTTGGGAAAGTGAAGGAACCCTGCACCTACCGAGTTCTTGCCAAAGGCACCAGGGTGTAGCCCTCAGGTGTGGTGGGGAGAAAGCAGCTCTTCGGGACTCAGTGACATACTTCCAATACTCTCTTTAAAATAAGCAAGCAGACGGTTTTATTGCGTTTTTGGTGGCAGTCTGCACAGGAAGTCAGGTCCCCATTTGGCCATTACTACACAATTGTTCAGTGGTCGCAATGTCTTCACATTCTCTTTGTTCTGTTCCCTATCCAGAACTCTCGTTCCCCTGCCCCTAAGCTTCAACTCTGCTTCTGAATAGCAGTTGGTCATTTGGTCTCACACTGGTGGTTTTTGAACGGAGCACTGACGGCACAGGTAGCACCCTTCACTTTGTGTAGCTCTGTACTATTTTGCTTAAAGGTCACCTTGGGACAGGCTGCTTCCAACATGTAAACTCTCAGGGAGCCCTCTGGTTTCGTCTGGCTGGCTGGCTTTTTAAAAAGAAAAGTTTCGAATTCTGCTCCACATGTTTTTCTCACATTCTCTAAGGACCCTCTACTGGGACCCCAGTCAGAAGAGTCCATGGTGGGAGCACCACCTAGTTCTTCTGGTCTCAGAGTACATGAGGCTGTGGCTCCTGCATATCCTACTCCAAGCCTTTGGTCAGCTCTGCTTGGTTCCTGCTGAGTGGAGACCTGTAGGTGTGTCTTTGTTGGCCTCTCAGAAGCTTTGAAGACCCCCCTTCTACTTCCTCACTTCAGGTTGGAGATCATGATTCTTGAGAACTATGATACGTCCACTCACTGAGCTGCACCGTGAGGCTTAAGCTTTCAAACCCACAAAGCCAACCAGGGGTGTTTGGTCATGAGGAGTCTCCGTATTTGTCTTCCATGTATGAGTGTGCCTGTATCCACTTACTTGTATTCACATAGACCCGTAGAGTGGCTCAAATCCACAGGTTTCTCTAAGGGAGAAAAATGAGGCTGTCTGCTCCTGTAAAGACTTTCAAACTTACAGAGCCTATACGGAATGGTTCTCACCCTTCCTAACGCCACGACCCTTTCATACAGTTCCTCATGCTGTGGTGGTGACCCCCAACCATAAAATTATTTTTGTTGCTACTTCATAACTGTAATTTTGCTACTGTTATGAATCGGGCGACTCCTGTGAAAGGGTTGTTTCGACCCCCAAAGGGGTCGTGACCCACAGGTTGAGAAGCGCTGCTGTATGGGGTCACTGAGTAGGAACGGAATGGCTGGCAGAGGACTTGGTTTTAGTTTTATAGCCACTCTAAGGAGCCTGAGTGGCACGGAGTTAGTTGTTGGGCTGCTAACCACAAGGTCAGTGGTTCAACCCCTCCAGCCAGTCTGAGGGAGCTCGATGAAGCTTTCTGCTCCCGTAAAGATTTACAGCCTCAGAATCCTACATAAGGTAGCTGCGAGTTGGAATCAACCCAATGGTAGCGGATAGTTGCTTCTGTTCTCAACAATGTGCACACCTGTACCTAATTGTACACCATATGCCTATACCCATCTACCTCTATGCAAGCACTCCGTTTCCTTTGGCTGTGCTGTGGCCACTGCATCTATGTTGGGTCCCATCATGAAAACAAATAACAATGTGTACAGCCTCCATTATTTCAGCTCAAAGGGAGGTTGGTCGTCTAGCAGAATTCTGAACAGTCCACTTGAGTGAAAACATCTCGGTTGTCATCTTGCCCGTGACAGGACTTGTATGTCCAAGACACAGCTGTCTGCCGAAAGTCTCTCCATAACTTGTAAATGTCTCCAGGAAGCGGCCTCCGGCTGCCTGAGAAGTCAGCATCATGGGACCACAGGCTCTATTTTGTTCTCAGCCCCGTGCACTGGCCCTCCCTCAAAAATAAGGCCCAAGCAAAGCACCGTGGTTTGTCACAGGCCCGAACTATTGTCCCGGTCTTTGGATGCAGGACCCGCTGACTCCCAGAGACATCGCTGTCACAGGAGGCCCCTAGGGGCCCTCTCAGGACCTCCACTCTGGTACTCAAGCCCCACGCTTTCCTGCACACAGGTGGGAGCAAACTGGCTAGCAAAAATAAGTAGCTTTCAACATGAGGGGCAGGAGGAGAAGTAAACTTTTGAGCCTTGGGCAGGAAAGCTGAGGACAGCGAGGTCAAGCAAGGCTGATGTCATCCCCCGTCCACTGCATCTTAAATGGCTGTTTAGCCCTGCCTCATTCCACACACCTCCTCAAAGGCAGACGAGAGGCGCTTTGCTCTGGGAAGCCCGTGTGGTGTTCTAAGGTGCAGCTGAAGCAGCCAAGAGTGTGCGTCAGACAAAACAAAGTCATTCTGGAAGCAGTCCTGCCTGCCCAAAGCCATGTGGGAATAGCCAAGGTTCCAAGTCCGAGAAGATGCTCTCTGCGAGCACGTGGGCCCGGAGGTGCATTCTAGAGCACTCAGATCTGGCCCCGTCTTGTATGGCTCATTCTGCCCTCCTCACCCCTCAAGGGTCCCCAGTCTCTCAGACCTGGCCTCTGGATTCCTCGCTCACCCCTTTCTCCTGTTCTCCAGCACAGGGCTTCAGACTGACCTGGCTTGCTTGGTCTCGGCTCAAGTCGGTTCCCTGCTCCCATCTTCTTGGCACACTGCGTACTTCCCCTCTCTGCACTGCTCACACTGGGCCCCAGACACCCTGCCTGACTTTGCAGCCCACGGACTGCTCCACGGGGGCAGAGGCCACCTTTGCTCGCGGCTGCACTTCCAGCCCTTTGTTGGTAATTGTCTACATCAAAGCAGAGACTCTGGTCTGACGAGCGGGGGCGGGCCCTGAAATACTCTTGGGTTCTGACCACTGATATGACACTTGGCAGTCACTCAGGCAGGTGCCCTGTTGGGTCAGAGGTGGTGAGGCCCCCCCCACCACCACCACCACCACCGCTATGAGCTGGCAGCTGCAAGGGGGCAGCAGGGCTTCATTGTGGAGCTTCTGAGGAGAGGAGGAGGGCAGCTGGCACACACATGGCTGTCCTTTGCCAGCCTCCTCCCGGAGGGTTCACCCTCTGAACACTTGCCAGGCCTGGAGTGCCCAGTAACATCAATGTCTTCCCAGGTACACACAGCGCAGTAGGAGAGAAAGTGCCACTGCCACACCCATGCCATGGAGACAAATGCCACCACAGACACCCAGGGGCCTTCTATAACCTGAGCAGGCAAAGATACCTCTGATGTCGTGGATGGAAAGTGTCACATGGCATCCGAGCCCCAGTAAAAGATCCCCACTAAGTCACTGGATAGCAATGGCGTCATGGGTCCATGTTCTTGAGGGCCCAGGACAGAAGGGGTTGCAGTGTATTGGATTGTGCAAGCTGCTTTCTCTTCCCAAACTCGTGAAGCTCTTCCACTGATGCTGGCTGAAAAGCCAGGATGTTGGTGCTGACTTCTTTTCCACCCTAGGCTTGTCTGTCGCCGATCGGACCACCCTGGCTGGGTACTATGTGTTCTTTCACACTAACCTTGTCGGAGAACATGCTGGCATGTCCAGTTACATTCGAATATCACATAACTAATGTTCTAATATTAGCAAGTTCCATGAAATATTTATCATTACTTAATCTGAAGTTCCACTAGATAATTGGACGTCCTGTATTTTTATTTGCTAAATCTAGCAACCCTGGTTATACGCATTTCAGGCAAGGCTAGTTGGTTCTTGGGCAGTCTCAAAAGCATAACCACCGAAAGTTAAATAAATGGTGTTTTAAATCTAGGATCTAGAAAAAAAGTATAACCACACCTCCCAAACTTGACTTCTCCCTCTGCTGAAAACAATAAAACCCTCCAAACAAAACTTAAGTGTGTGTGTGTGTGTGTGTGTGTGTGTGTGTGTGTGTGTGGTTTTAAGAAAAGAGAACTGATCATCCACACAACAACAAAAGAGATGGAGAGTGAGTGGAAGAGAGAGAGTCTTCTTACAACCCCTAAGTCAGGGACACAACAGGCCCCTAGCCAACCACACTGGGTCAGCTAGCACCTTGGCCATCCCTAGCTCAAAAGCAACTGGCTTCCATGAGAGAAGGAGGCAGAGTGAGGAGAGGGCGAAGAGAATTAGAGTGTCAAAGAGGCCTGTCCCGTGCTGAGGGGCAGTGGAGGGTGTAGGTGTTCATGGCACAGAATGACAGAGCAGTGCCAGGCCCAACTGTCACAGAACACGCAAGTCCCCTACACACTGAGTGCCAAGCACAGTAGCTGTGACGATGGCCAACAGGGTGCGCGAGGAAAGGAAAAGTCAACGGGGTCTGAGAAATGCCCGGTGGTCAGGAACAGATACACTCAAGCCCAGCCCTGCCTGTGTCCTGGTGACTGGACGCTACTCCTCCCACCCCCCCACCCCCACGGTCTGCAGATCTGAGGCAGCAAGCCTGCAGCTGCAGTGGGCGGGGGGAGTGATGAGCCAAAATGTCTCCCTGGATTTTTAAGAAATCCTGTTTATTATTACCGTGATCAAAAGTCAATCATGTAACAATACAGTCGCTTTACAGATTTATTTTCACACATTCAGTTTGATTGACCAGTTTACAATCCCCAGCCGTTTTATAAGTGTTGCTTTGCAAAATGGAGATGGTGTTACAAGGCAAAAAGTGGTCACTGATAAAGAAATGAATGCAGGGGGGATCATGGAGCTCTAAGTGAGCTGTCTGCTCACTTCTCCTTGAAAGGAGAACAAGAACTAAAAATATCTTAGATACGCAAACGACACCGGCGGCACACTCCTATATAAAGGTCAGGTTGTAAACTCTGAACGCGTGGTGTTCACAAGTGAGAGGATTAAAATTAAAGCTACAATCAGGTGGCCCATCTCACTTCTTCCTTTTGATGAAATATAATTTTTCTTCCAGTGGGACCGGGACAATCCCTTCACAATCCTTTACTTCCTGGGTCAGTGGGTGTGTCACAACACCCCGTCTGATGACGTCGATGTCCCGAGACAAGTGCTCCATGATGCTACTGACAGTTGTTGTGGGGGCATAGAAATCCACCAAGAAGTACCTGCAGTGAAAGGAAGGCAGACAGAAAGAAAGAGAAAAGTGAATTTTTGCTTGTTGGAATACAACAAGCCCGCCATCGCGCTCAATGTGTCATTGTATTCTACCCCGAAACAGACATGAACTGTACAGACACACATGCACAGCCTGTGTGCAGGAAACAGCCGGCTAGCCAGTCTAAACACTGGGAGAAAGGTGCCCAATCGCCCCTTCCCAGAGCCCGTCTCATTCACCTCTGAGCGCAGGCACACCCTGTGGCTGGGGAATACTAGCGAGAATGGGAACAGTCTGGGTGCGATGGGAACAACATTCAACAAAGCTGAATTACTATTATTATCTTGGGGCGAAGCGCCTGAAGCATTATACGCTTCTAATTTTCCAAAGGAGTTTACAAGTGACCCAACACACTTAACAGGGTGAGGGCCACACATCACATGGAAAAAGACTGAGAAAGGCATTGGGAATTGCCAAGACTATCCTGCACTCACATCCAAGAACTGACAAGGAACAGAGAGAACACTGCCTGCCCCTGGGGGGAAAGGAGTTAACAGTCACCTACACAGGCCAGGTTAGAGCAGATGGGCTCCCTGGTCTCAGAAGATAACACTCCATCGCCATCGCACAGCTGAACGAGGATAAAGGGGAGAGGTGCCCCATGCTTTGCTCACTTACACAACTTGAAGCTTCCCTGACGCTTCACCATTTCTGCCTCGGTGGGTTCGAGGGCAGCAACCGCGCCCAGTGAGGTGTTTCAGGTTTCAGTGATGCTCCAGTTGGCGGTGGTTGCCAGTTGCACCGAGTCGGCTCCAACTCATGGCACCCCATGCACAACTTAACAATGCTGCCAGCCCCGTGCCAACATCTCACCACTGGTGTTTGAACCCTTTGTCTCAGCAACTGTATATTCTGAGTGTTTTCCAACCTTGGGGGTGGGGGGTGGCCGCTCCTCTTCCAGCACTTTATCCAACAAGTTTTTGCTGTGACCCAGAGTTCCCACTGGCTCATTTTCACAAGTAGATTCCCAAAGTGGCTGATACGGTGCCGCTGAGGGGCACGGGAGCCTACACTGTATCCCGGATTCTGGGCTGTAGCATGAAAGTCCTTTAATGCCAGTAGGGCAACGAGTCCGTTCTTTTCTGAGCTTGGGAACTTGTGGGCTAGAGTCCCCGTGATGACCCTGCTGGCTCTGGAAGCACCAGTGGTGTGGCTTCTACGGCCATGGCACTTGCTGTTCCTTCTGCCAAAACTGAGATCGCCCACATTGTCAGCAGGCCTTCTGGTCCAGAGAGGCTTCTGTGACAGCCCTCCCACAGCAGGGCCTGCCCTGCCCCTCCCACCAAGGGCCACCATCCTGGCCCCTTGCTCCCGTCCCCTCAACCTCACCACCACTGCCGAGCGTATAAAACACATCGCCCCTGAGTTCATTCCAACTCACAGTGTAAACCTGGTCCATGTTATTACCCGTACCTGGGCAGACGCAGCCTGGTGGCCCAGAAAAAGCTCCCGCAACTGTAGTAGTATCAGACCAAGTACACGTAAGAGCAAAGGAAATGAATTACCAGGGACAGAAAGGGGCCATACATAATGAAGGCACAAGAATACCAAATATGAGGGGCCAACCCCCACCCCGCCCCACCAAAACAAAAAACAAAAAAAGGAAAAAGCTCCACTGGTTGGGGCTTTCATTGTACACATCGGGCAACTCACTCTGAGTTAGTGCACCCAGTGGGGTCCCCCGGGAAGGTTCTCTCTGGTCACAGTGAATTTTTTCGTAAAAGCAGTTTTGCTTGAACCTTTTATTTTTGGCAATGGCTGATTTAAGAGGACAGTGTGTGGCTGTGAAATCTTGTTTCCTGCTCAGGTAAAATGCCGCAGAAACTGTTATGATGTTGAACATAGCTTACAAGGACACCACTATGGTAAAAACTTAAGTGTAAGAGTGGTTTTCTCATTTCCAAAAGGGTGAGGTGTTGACTGATGACAAATCTCCTTCTGGACACCCTCCAACTTCCCAGACACAAATGTCAACTCGTAGTACATTTGGAGTTCATTCCACCAGGTCAGACTGCTCATAAGGCTTTCTACTTAGAGGTTCTGAAAAGATTACCTAACAGTGCGTGACAAAAAAGGCATGATTTGTGGCAACAGGGGCTGGTTTTGTCATCACAACAACGTACCTGCTCACATAGCTGTCTCAGTGTGCCAGTTTTTGACCAAAAACAGCATAGCTTTCGGCCCACGCACCTTCCTCATCGCACCTCACGCTGCGCAATCCGTGAACAAAGAGACATTGAAAGAACAGTGATTGATGAAAGAGAAGAGGTGAAGAAAAGCAAAAACAAACAAACAAAAAACCCGAGGGAGGTGCTGTCAGCTATCCAAACAGATGAGTTGGAAAAATGTTTCCAAGAAGGGAACTGCAGATTTAAGCAATGTATTAAGTATAATGGAGAATACTTTGAAGGTGTTAAGGTTGTTTTGCAAAAAAAAGGAAAAAAATTCAATACAGAGCTTGGGGGTGAGGGGAGATTCTGGGTTTTTTTGAGGGGTACCCTCCTTGTGTGTGTGTATATATGTACTAGCATTTCAACACACAAGAAGTAAAACGAACAGCCCTGAGAAAAAAGACAGACAGCCACAACTACTCAGCTGGAGATGTCCTCCTCCCAGCGAGCGAGAGAACGATAGATGGACAACCAGCAAGGACGCAGACAAAGTGGACACCATCAGCCAACTGGCTATAACTAGCATTTGTAAATTCCTCTACCCAGTAACAGCAGAATGCGGTTTCATCTGTACATGCAGCATGTACCAAAGCCATCCATATTCAAGGCCATAAAACAAGTATCAAGAAATCTAAAAGGGATTCAACTCACACAGAAAGATCTTTGGAAAATCCCCAAGTATTTCGAAACAAGATAACACATCTCTAAATATGCTAAGGATCAATGAAGAAATCAAAAGGGAAACGAGAAAGTATTTGGAACTTGAAAGAGCCGTACTTAGTGGAAATATAGCCCTCGACACTAGATATTAAAAATAAGAAGGAAGTCCACACATCAATGACTTTAGCTTCATTAAAAAACTAAGAGAATGCTAAACCCAAAGACAAAAAAAAAACAAAACTAGAAAAGAATGGTCACAGCAGAAGTGGGTGAAACAAACACACTGAGAACGTCAATGAAAATGACCCTGTGCCAGCCAGACGGGGCAGCTGAAAACACGCAGTCGCCAACCACCAACATCAGGGGTGAGAGAAGTTACAGACGCTAAAATAATGAGACTATTGTCAATAAATGCATGCAGCAAGTTTGACAACGTCGGCTAAAACTGCCGCACTCCTGAACGGGTACAAACTACCTCATTCAAGGTTAGAAGACCTGAGGCGCCCTCTGTCTTAAAAATGAAGACAATTAGAGGCCCAAGTGGCCTCACTGAGGACCTCCCCCACGCATTTGAGGCCCAAATACCAAGCTGACATAAACGCGTGTTTGTCTCATTGATTTCTGATGCCATCGTATTATTTTCCTCTTTTATTTTTGGATGTAGCGCAGTCGGTCTTAGTTCCCAAATGAAAGCTAACGTCGCTGATGTGCGTGAGGGCTTCTTTCGTTTTCTTATACATCTAAGTGTTTAGGGCTATACGTTTCCACCCAGAAAAGAGAACACAACGGGACACTTCTCAGTGCGAGAGTAGCTTTCTCTCCACACTAAAACCAAACATGGCAACAACAACAGCAACAAAAGCACCAACCTCTTTCTCAAACACACTGTTGCTGTCATTAGGTGCTGTCCAGCTGAGAGGGCGCGCTAACGCACAACTCAGCACACACACACACACACACACACACCCGTGCAGCGCAGGATCAAACGGCCCGGTGCTTCCTCGTAGCCATGGCTGTATTGCAGCCCATGGCTGCAGCCACTGTGTCCAAATCCGTCCTGTAGAGAAAGAGGGTTTGAAAAACCCCCAACACATTTTTTACCAAGTAGGATTTATCCCAGGAACGAAAGACTCGCATTCAAAAATCAACGTGATCCATACTACCTTAAAAAGAAAAACTGCAGTTCCATTTCAACAGGTGTAAAAATCTAACAGCCTTTCCTGATAAAAACTTGGGCAACCTCGGAACACCAATGCCTTCCTTCTAGTAGCGATGCTGCAAAGCGCATTTATGAGAAACCAGCAACCTGCCGTCATCCCGCCTGGTGAAAGGCAGAGCACTTTGCCCCCAAGATTGACAACAAGACAAAAGATGTGCTGAAGGTTCCTGTCAGCGAAAGATGCCAAGAAAAAGAAATAAAAGGATCTGAATTGTTAAGAAATAGGTGTCCTTTCTCTCGCGTCCTCGCTTCCGAGATGACAAAGAAAAGGCGAAACAACGGCCGTGCCAATAAAGGCCGCGGCCATGTGCAGCCCATTCGCTGCACGAACTGTGCCCGCTGCGCGCCCAAAGACAAGGCCATCAAGAAGTTCGTCATAAGGAACATAGTGGAGGCCGTGGCCGTCAGAGACACTTCCGAAGCGAGTGTCTTCGACGCATACGTGCTTCCCAAGCTGTACGTGAAGCTGCATGACTGCGTGAGTTGTGCCATTCACAGCAAGGTGGTCAGAAACCGGTCACGGTGAAGCCCGGAAGGACTGAACCCCCCCACCTCGCTTTAGACCTGCAGGTGCCGCCCCGCGACCTCCTCCAAAGCCTATGTAAAGATTAGAAGCTGAAGAAAAACAAACCTGAAAGGAAATAAAATGGAAATTGTTCACGGCAAAAAAAAAAAGAAAAAGAAATAGGTGTAACTGTCTTTATTGGCAGATAACATGATGGTGCACAGAAAATCCAAAGAAATTTCTTTTAAAAAGTCATCAGATGCTCACCTTCCCGACACAACCACTGAAGACAAAGCGGGTGAATAAGCAAATGTGGTGAAGAAAGCTGATGGTGCCCGGCTATCAAAAGATA